GTGTATAATGTGAAAAGTATTTTGAAATTAAAAATTATATATGTGTTCCTATTTGTGGAGATGGAATAGTGGTAGAAGGATTTGAATAATGTGATGACGGAAATAACATTCAATATGATGGTTGTTATGAATGTTAATTTTCCTGCAAAGATGAATGTTAAATTTGCAATAAAGATAAATGTTTAGATAATAACTAGACTAATTTATGTGAAATAGGATATTAATTAATTTATAATTAATGTCATTCAATTTGTGGAGATTCAATAATTACATCAAATGAATAATGTGATGATGCTAATGAAATACCTTTTGATGGATGCTATTAATGTTAATTTTCTTGTTCATAATAGTGCTTAGATTGTATAGATGGATAATGTTTAAAATGTGAACTTGATTATGAAATTCAGAATAATATTTGTATAGATGTTTGTGGCAATGGTTCTAAATCAGAATTAGAAGAATGCGATGATAATAATTAAGTATCTCAAGATGGATGTTCTGATAAATGTGAAATTGAAATTAATTGGTAATGCACACAAATAAATTTTAAAACTAGTTTATGTCTTTAAATGAAACTTCCTAAACTTAACTTAATCTACTTCAATAAAACTAATGCCTCAATATTCATTTAATTTTGAATTACAAAATTTTTTTCATATATCAACAATTTTATTTTGTTTTGATTAAATCCCCCTCAATTATTTAATTAATTAAATTAATATTGAGAATTCACTTATAAATATTATTTTTATTAATCCTTTGTCTATGATAATTCTAATTTTATAATAATGGCATTTTTTCAACCTTTTTATTTTTCTTACTCTTATTAAACAATCTATAATTATGCTTTAATCTCATTTATTACTCCTTATTGCCCTTCTTTTTTATTGATTTTCTAATGTTACTTGTTTAGTGATTATTAAAATATTTAATTTAATCTTCCTTCTTACTGAATTCTTATTAAAGTTATGGATCTTATTCTAACTTAACATTAATTTCTTTGTTCATTCATTGTTAAAAAACTTTGATATCATATTGGGCTTAAAATTTATCTAAATTCTTTCTATAAATCTAATTTTTTTAAGTTAACATGCTAAAAGGATCTTTTATTAAAATTATTAAACTTTTCTTTTTTTCAAAAATATAAGAAATGCTAATCATTTTAGAGGAAAACTTCATAAATTTATAACTATTTTATCAAAGGTTCTAGAAACTTTGGATATTACTTAAATTATTGATTTACAATAGACCATTTTTAAATCATACTCGTTACACCATTTCTCCCTTTTGAATTATATATCTCTTATCAATCTACCAATATATTTTCAGTATTCACATTTCTCTGGCAAGTCTTAAAGAAAGATTAAAGAAAAGATAATATCTAATTCTAAATCAATTAATGATAGAAAGAATAACTAAGAAATTATCATTCAAGAATCTATAAAAATAATTTTATAAGTTTCAAAATAAAAGACTGTTATTCTAACGAATTATATTTCAAAAAAACAAAGAGACAAGGTGATGTTTTGAGACACTCTAAGATTTTATATTTTGGAAAGCTTTTTACAAATCAAGTGATAATTCAGATTATAAGTAGAATACAGAAAATTTTGATGTGGCTAAGAGATAGACTAAATATCAGATTTATTTAAGGTGTTTAATGCTATCTAGATTTTTAATTTTTTCTTATCATCTAAAAAGGAGTATGAAAAGAATGAAAATAACCATCTTCCAAATTTGAATGATTGTTATTATAGGTGGATGCTTCAAAGTTCAGACATTCTTCTCACATCTACAACTTCTGAAAATTTTGTGAATTCATCATACTATGCTTAATTTTTTCAAATTTTAAGGTAGATAGTAAGAATTGGAATTCAAATTCAATTGTTTTAGTAACTTTTACTATGCTAGAGGGGAGGAATATTTAAACCCAATTCTTAGTTTGAATAATTTATAGCCTATAATAATAAAACCATAATGCTCCACCTCTATCAAAGACATAAATGTGTAAATTCAAATCAATACGACTCAACTTTTGAGAATGGGCTAATCTTTTATGCTAGAATGATATTCTAAGCTGCTGTTGCTATTAATTAGTTAGAATCTTAAGAAATAATGATAGACATACAAAGGAAATTTTTTTTAAGAAGAAAAGATCTACAAACTCAATAAGAATCCATAAGATATCATAAAATCATACAACCTAATTATATAGGGAATCAGAAAATTATTAAAAAGCTCTTTGATCGATATTAGAACAGATTCGTTTAAATGTTTGTATA